TTGGCCCATTGCTGCCTTAGAGCCCGGTTGGACTTTGGGGGCTCAGACTTTGGGGCTGTCCCTCTCCCCATGGGGCAGCCCAGGCTCCGCCCAACTGCACGAGGGGGAAACAACTCCCAACGAGGCACCAAACTTTTCCCTCCCCCTCCACTCCCCCTCCCCCCTGCCTGGACACTCACTGGGACGGCTCCGCTGGTCAGATCAGCTGCTCCATGTTACCAGCCCGAGGAGAACAAACACCTGGGGATAGGGAGAGACCGGGAGAGGGGGTGAGACCCCTTGGGACAGACACACCCTGCCCAGCTCAGAGCAGGGCCCCACACACGCCCCTCCCCAGCCCAGACTGGCCCCCAAACGTCGCCCATGCCCAGGGCACCGATGCAAAGGCACACACCCCAGCACCGGGCACCCTCCCTTGCCGCTTGGCTTTCCTGGGGGGGGGGGGGGGGCGAGCCGCACAGGGAATGGGACTCAAGCCTCCAGCATGCTAGTCCCAGCCTGGGGAGAGGACAGCGGCCGGGCTCCGTGCGCAGGACTCCTGGGGCCCTTCTGCTGAGAAACCACTGTGCCCCGGAAACGGGGCTATGAAGCCTCCCCTGCCACGCTCCTGAAGCGCAGGGTGCTGCGGAGAGCCCGGCGCTCAGGCGGACACCCAACCCCCTCTGGCATGGGCTGGGTGCTGGCTAGAGACCCAGGGAGGGATTTGCAAGAGGCTGTCGGGGGGGGAGCCACAGCCCTCTGGGGCCCTTCTGCTGAGAAACCACTGTGCCCCGGAAACGGGGCTATGAAGCCTCCCCTGCCACGCTCCTGAAGCGCAGGGTGCTGCGGAGAGCCCGGCGCTCAGGCGGACACCCAACCCCCTCTGGCATGGGCTGGGTGCTGGCTAGAGACCCAGGGAGGGATTTGCAAGAGGCTGTCGGGGGGGGAGCCACAGCCCTACTGAAACGCTTACTCCGGAGCGGGGTGGGGGTGGGGGTGGGGCGTGTCTGGGCGGCACGGGGGCCGCTCGGGGTTAACGAGGGCGTAAAGCGGATGCAAGGGGAG